CTGCCGGCCTCTCCCTATCCAGACTTCGGCTATCTTGAGGAACCGGCCCCTGGAGCTCTGCTTCACGTCTAGGTAAAACCTCTTTTTCTGGATGTCCACTCGTTTGGAGGCCAGCTCCTGGATTTCGGCTGCGGCGCCCCCAGCCTGATTAGGGGTGGCTGAAGCCGCGTAGTGGGGGTAGTGGGAGTGCTGGGCCTGGGGATAGAGTCTACTCTTGCTTAGGCCAGAGCCCCCTAAATTCTTGCCGCCGCGGCCGCGGCCACTGCCGCCTCCCCTTCGCCTGGCTCTTTCCATCTTCAGCTGCAAGTGACAAACAGACACACGGGGTGGGGGGGGGGAGGGGTGTTGAGAACAATCGCAGACGCCCCTCGGCCTGCGCTGCCCCCGCCTCCGCCCGGGACCCCCGCACCGGGCCGCGCTCGCACCGCCCCGGCCGCCGCAGAGCCCGGCTCCCCTCTGCCTGCCTGTCGGCGGCGGCCGGCGCCGCGTCGCGCACACAGCATCCCTCCGCCGCCCCGGCCTCCCGCTCGCCGCGGGGCCGCCAGCCTCGGGATACCCGGCCGGCAGACACTCACATCAGTGCTGCCATCACCGCCGCCGCCGATGCCCTTCACCGCCTCCGCCGCCAGCTCTCTGCCCCTCTGCTGCCGCCGCCGCCGCCCCCCGCCTGCTCCCCCGCCGCCGCCGCCGCCGCTCGCGCCGTCCCCCGCCGGAGCGGCCGGGCAGGGGCATCGCCCGCGGCGCCCTCCGCCGCCGCCCCCTCTGCGGCCGCCGCGGGGACCGCCGCCTCTCCTCGGGCAGCGGCCCGACACCCGCCGGGAGAGGAGGGGGCGAGGAGGGGGGCGGGCAGTGGACCCGCCTCCTCAGCACAGCCCGCTGAAGGCAACAGGGGGTCTCGCGTTCGCCCTCGGGAGCCCCCTCACGGACGCTCAGCGTGTGGGGATGGAGCACAAGTGCGAGGTGACCGGGCAGGTGCGAAGATGGGAATAAGGACGCGGACGGCGAGAGTGTTCCGACTTCTCCGGGTTCCGCCGGGATGCAGGACTTGCTAGCCCACCGGCTCCGACACGGACTACACTCTCCGGGGTGCTCCGCGGCAGCTACAGCCCCTGCGCATGCGCGCCGCGGAGCCAGCTGGGCTCGGAGGGAGGGGGCGGGGCGGGCTCCGGGGGGAGGAGGCGGAAGGTCGCTGTCCCAGAGCTGATGCGCGCTGTGTGCGCCGGGACGCCCGGGCGTGCGCTCTGCAGCGCGGAAATAGTCTCTTGAAGTAGTGTCTACCTTGGATGCCTGGGTTCCAGGGCCTGCTGTTGCGGCGCTCCACGAATCATCCAGCTGAAGGAGAAGCCCCGTG